TTAACTGGCTGTCAGAAAATGCATGTCTTTATATACTATTCAGTAACCACAAAATACGCTTTATGTGCAGACCTTGAGCAAATGGAACATATACTGTATGACATATACTGTATGACTGCAAAGACAGGTCTATTATGCTGGCCAGAGACATATAATCACATTTACATTGTTGATGCTTCCTTGCTTGAATCCCCAATGCAACGATGTTGCAACAGGGAAAGCACACTGCATGCGGAGAGCATCCAGTGACTACAGCATCTTGGGAACAGGACAGGGCACAGATAGATATGGAAAAAGGCAGGCAGAAGGCAAATTACTAGTCCCCAGTATTGCCTGTGTACTCCCCATAGCTAACTTTGTTTCCTATTATTGACTTACCATGCCTTGATCTGCACCATGTCTGTGTAGAGGGCAGCTATATTGCGCGAGGCAGGGCTTGACTTCCTAATGACAGAGTCTCTAGCAAAGAGAACAGATTGTACACTACAGATATGCAATCTGGACAGGAGTGCCTAGACGCACTCCATTTCATTCCAGGAAACAATTGTTTTCTGAATTCAAGACAAAATGTACATTTGTGAGGATACTGCTTGGGCACAAGTAACATTTCTAGATGTTCTATATAACATAGTATATCTTTACTTTTTTGAGTTGAGGTCTACCTTAAAGCCAGTTACAGCCAAAAAATTTTTTGTAGATAGCGGGGAAGGGTTAGAAGCTTTTTGTAGCTGCCTGTGCTTCCATTAGAGCGCTTTAGTTCCTGTTTCTGGGACAGGGTGGTTCTTATCCTTTTCAACTATATCCAAAAATAGAAATATCTGGAGTTAAACTCCAAATATATGGAGTTTAACTCATGTGATGGCTGACATAGAGGTCTGTGACGAGGGACGCCGGAGCCCGACGAGTAGCTACCCGGCCGGCCATTGTAATTAAACGGTCGGCTGGGAGCTTTACATACAAGCGATCAGGTGTCTCTAGAGATGCCTGATCGCTTGTATTAGCAGTGGCTGTCACTGCCGTTGCCGGTCCCGAGATCCACTGTGCCTGGTGCGGCCGGGACCAGCACGGCTGCTCTGTGACAAGTGATCAAAGTGAGGTCGGTACGCGATCTCCCTCTGATCTCCTCTCCTGTCCCCGAATGCAGGAAGTGATGTATATTACATCACTTCCACATTCTGCTGTCACTCTCCAGCTTCAGATGCTGTGGAGAAGTTGGTGAAGCAGATCTTGGAGACCCCTGATGTCTCCATAAAGAGGAGCTGTCATGTAAATTGGCTATCACATAGGGGGCTTCTTATCCCCCTATGCAATGGCAATAAAGTTATGTGTAAAAAAATAAATAAGAGTGATAAAAAAATTAAAGAAGCATACATTTTTTTAAACAAATACAACATTTTTTTTTAAAGTCCCCTGCGCCCCACATACACACGTAAACATGCGCCGGGTGCGCCTGTGTGTGAAAATGACAATTGTGCCTATTTTGCCGCACCTGTTTATATATCGCCGCGAATGTCCTGAGTGTGAGCAATAATTTTAGGGCTATTAATCACTGATAACACTAAACTGATGAGCAGTAAAGGCGTTTAAAGCGCCGCCTATGGCCAATTTTCGGTGTGTGGCAGTTTTTTGTGATTTATCGTGTGCAATTTTAAGGCTTGACATGTTTGATATCTATTTACCCGATGTGACCCTTTTATATTTTACCAAAAATATGGGTAAAAATAAATGTTTTTTAACATAACGTAGGGAAAAAAAATTTCCCCCCGGAATTTACGGTACTTTTTTCATTATGTAGTAAAAAATAACCCCCCCAGTGGTGATTAGATACCTCCAAAAGAAAGCTCTGTGTGTCCCTAAAAAATGTTAACATAAATGGCAAGGCTATAGTTCGGTCATGCTGACTGGTGACAGCCTAAAATTTTTCAAGCCCTGATTATGAGCCACAAATGTGATCCTATTATCTCTGTAGCTCATAACAATTACATACTCTTTTTAAATATAAAATAATCCACATGACAACTTATCCAGATGTTGCTAAGACTAAAATATTTTTAACAGTGTTTATTGGAATTGTTTTGTTTTTTGATCTGATTGCTCTGACCAGAACAGAAGGTCATCTAACTCTTGTTGCTTTTAATCTACCACAGCAGTGATTAATTTCAGTCCTTGTTTCATTTACATGGAATTTAATTGCAGTAGATCCAATTATAATAAAACCATAATCTTGTATGGATTTTAGTGTAATTATGTTACAGTGTTGAGGATGGGCAAACAGAGACCTATAAGATGAATAAAGCCCAAAGGAGGGTGATAAGACAAGCTAAGATCTTCACGATGCATTAGATTTTAAGTCTATAGCAGATATTCCATTCTAAGACACATTTTACTTTGAGGAGCCAACAGTCAATAATATTGCTGTTCATGAGTGTAGAACCATGTATCGCTCTTAAAATATGGTTAATACAGGATATGAGTATTACAATTAGAGTAACAGAAAATAGAGCTTTTGTCAATGAGAACATTCACGTTCTTATTTGTAATTATAAATGTCAATAGAACCATATTGGTTGCTATAGGCAACACTTCCATTTTGTCTTTTGGTCTGTTTTTATTCCAGCTACATCTTAGTACCCTAAAGAGTAAATGTGTTCAATTCGCTTCAGGTCTATCAGAAAATATTACCATAAATTTTGGTAAACTTCAAATTCTGTTTTCTTATCCTCAAAACTTTCCTTATTACAAGAATAGATCAGTCTGAAAGTGGCAGACATTATATAGGGACATAATTATGTAAGAAGGCACAGAAAATATTTGGCCACAGCTGCCAGTAAGTTTGTTTGGTAAGGGAGAGCAAGTATTCTGACTAGTTTCTATGGACAGCAACAGATGTTCATATCATGCATTTTAATACATTAGCCTTCTTTCAAATCATTACAAAAAAAAATAGGATGAACTGAGAAAATGACAAGAATAATCTGGCTGCTGTGGGCAATACAGAATAGAGGTGGCCATAGACATGAGATCATTCTTACCCAATATGATAGAAGGTTTTTGCATTTGCTGCTGATGGGAATATCTAGAAAGGTAAATAGTAATTGGACCTTGTCCGATCACTTTTGGTACCCTCAAGATAAATCTGTTCTGAAGGCTTTAACATGTGTGTCCCTTTAGCTTAAAGAGTAACATTTCCCTTATCTTCAAAATGTTTAGTATTGACAATCTCCAAATACTTGCAGGCTTTTAATTTTTTGAGGACTTGTGGGTGTAAGACAATTTGATTCAGATGCTTCATTAACTTTTTTTAACCTAACTTTTTCTGGGCCCTATCAGTATTGTGCCAGCATTCTCAGATTTTAGTATCTGCTGCAAGACCAGATTTCTGGGGGATTTGTCTTGCCCTATTCATTTTGCATTTATGCTGTCTTATTTTACAACCTGTTAATCTAAATTGACTTTGAAGGATCCTTCAAGAGTATTAACATTCCTCACTCACTAATGAATCCTAGATACCAGTTTTTATTCCTTTTGCCACATTTGAAGATTTAGAATCTGATTCGCTTTGCTCTTTTATACATGCCAAGGAATAGATTGTACCCTGCCAACGGCCTTCTAATGGAAAAGTGCAACAGATTGGTGCAGGTGGAGATTACTCCATCCACACAGCTGGAGGAATCTGTTGCACCTTTTCCATCTGACCACAGAAAATTTTGTGCATTTACAACATTTTTTACCGTTGTAATTTTTAAACCTGTAATTCTAAACTAAAGCCATGCTTGCATTAAATAGAGCCCTGCTCTTTTTTCCATTGTGCTAAAGTAATTATAGGTCCTTTCATTTTCTGATTACTTTTACCACACAGTGTGAATTAACCCTCACAATGACAAAACACCAAGATAATTTTTTTTGCCTAGATTCTCCTGCAGTTTTGGCAACAAAGTTGTTTTTGTCTTCACATCTGTTTCAGTGCTTTTAGGTAAGGATTAAAAAGTAAGAATCAGGAAGAGGCCAGTAGGCCGGCAAGGTTTTGTTACCTGCTTTTCTCATTATTCCTTTTACTTTAACCCTCATCTGATTTAACAGATTTCTCAGTGGAAATCATGACTGCTTCCCACATGCAATAATGTTATATGTGTGACAGCCATTTTGCCTTTGTGGCTTATTATCTTGAAATAGAAATACTGATATTCGTAAAAAAAAGTTACGTTTTAACAGCGAATATTTTAGAGGCAGATGGGCTTTAGCGTATGGGTGTTGCCTCATTTGTCAGCAGTATCAGAAGGGAAAGTGCTTATGTTGGCAATACCAGTTACTATTCCAGATGCCATTTTTCTGGTGTGGGTTAAAAAACAGGAAGAATGCAACTGGTACTTGTTACACAGTTGCAACAGTATTCACTAACTCTAATTCTTAAAAGTTTTAAATAACTGCGGTAATCCATAGCAACCGATCAGAATCCATTGTGTACTGTTCTGGCTTCAGCAGCATTAATTCTGTTTTTTTGCTATGAGTTTTTGCACCTAAAGTATATCTAATCCCAAGAACAAAAAGTTAATATACTGCAGTTTACTAGTCCTAGTTTTTTTGGGGGTATTTTGTTTTAAGCTTTAAAACTGAATAAAAGACACAAAGATTCAAGCAAAAATAAACATGGCTCTCGTTGTAAGACAATCTGGAGTTCAGCTTAAAAAAAAAAAAAGATAGTCTCAAATATTGGTTACATACCCCCTGGTACCCGAGTTTTCTGGACTGCAGAGTGGGAGACTTGCTAATGGCTGTTCAGCAGTAGGGTCCAAAAACCTGCAGTGGCGCAATTATGTCAGGAGGAGGGGCAGCAACTAGACTGATCAGCAGCAGGCCTGGTTTCCAGCCATGGATCACCGGCCTTGAAGCAGACCTTTACCCAAATCTTTAAAATAACACCTTAAGAAATGTTTAGTAATGACAATCTACAAACAGATACTTCTAGATAATTGCAGGCTCTATATTCTTTGCATACCTTATTCCTCTTTTCTTCCCCAGTCTTCTGACAGTGGCCATGTTTACTAAGGGCAGATTACTAGCTCTCCTGAAAATCTGTCACGTGACTAGGACTTGTGACCATGCACATCATCTCAGAGGAGGAAATGCCTTTCATTGAGATGAGATTTCTCAGCAATGCTCTCCTGATGACAAGGAAATCCCAGTGTGCATTGTGTTGGCAAACTGAAGTAATTTTGCACTTTCAAAGCAGGAAGTGAATGCTCTGCAAGTGTAAGTATTTCACAATCACAGCATTTTACATCTGACATGTCTATATTATCCTTTATCATCATACATAGAGGGATGCATTGGTAGAATTTGATTTTTGAGTGTAAAGTTCCACTTTAACTCCCGGAAGAGGCTCTAAAGAGGGTCACATGACAGTTGAATCCATTAAGTAGAATAGGCAATAGAGGGTTTTTTCATTGTGAATCGGTGAAAGGGGGCTAGGTAAAGGGTTGAGGGGGCCCATATCTGTCTAGGTGTAAGGGCTCTATAGAATAAGGTACTGATAGGGGGCTAATCTGACACAGCTTGAGGAGAGCTACAGGACGGTTTTGATCGCTGACCTGCACTGTACAGTAGTACTGAAAATTAAGTTCTCTGATCCAAATTGCTTATATATAGCATAAAAGGTTCAATGGCTGCTGTGACAACCTGTAACAACTAACATTTTCAATTTACCCTCAATACATTAACATTAAATATATTTTTACCTGCTGTAGAAAATTATATCTGAGAACCAATATCATTGGTTTTGCTAGGCACTTTTCTAATATAAGCTTTTTTTGTAGAGCACAGTAGACATACAAGATTACTGCAAATTGCAGTGACCATAGCAGCCAGATAGCACATTACTGAAGTTGGATCAGTTCATAAATTAATTCTGATTGGTTGCTGTGTTTGAGGCCAATAATGCAAATTGTAAAGTTGAATGCAATATAGTAAAACCGGTTAATAGTTGTTTCCCACAGTTCAAGTCACTGCTGATTTCTCATGGCTCTGCCTGAACAGCCAATAAGTGCTAAAAATTGGCCTCTCTTTGCAGATCATAACATTGGGAACAAGCCCAAATGTTACCTGACTGCAGCCCTACTGAGTGTGCCTTCTCTCTCGCACAGAAACATTTCTCTGCTATATTGCTTAGCAACAATGCCAGCAGCATGAGGCAGCAGACAGTCTGACTCCGAGGGACCCCGTTCCAAGATAAAGATAAGTACTTAGACATTTGGACCTTTTTTTTATGGCAACAGCAAAGGGCACTGGAGGTAGCACGTATGTGACCCACGCCTTCCTTGTAGAAGGTAGCCGTGGGTCCCATACTACCTTGCTACCTTGTTTTCTTACTGCTTCCCTCCTATAGACCTACAAATCATTGTTTACCAGAAAGTTACAAACCCACTTTGGGACAAATAATCTACTATTGCTCATTTAGAATGAGCAAGGTGCTTGGGTTTATGATGTGGTGATGCTGGTCTTGTTAGCACTTATGCAGTTTTAGCTGCTTGGTGGACAATAGTTTGAGCTTAGAACAGATGTCCAATTAATTTTCTTTATTATCCTGTTATTTAACAGAGAGTATGCTTTGCATTTACATGCATTACATTCACTAAGCATTACAGATTAAGGCCTTATTTGCTTCAGAGTGTTGTAAACGTGTTCTACTATGCAAATGGTTTCCATAAAAATAACAAAGTAAACGCTCTTTCATTCAATTAACTTTGGTTGTAAAAAGTGCTCTCCCCACCACAAGCAGCAAATAGAGCCTAAAGTAGGGAAAGGTACAACCTGCCAGTTCACTAGGTACCTTGGGTACAGCCATTTGTGCTTTGTCTCAGGTTCTAGTGAAATGATAGGCTGTATTGGCTTTCTACAGAATGTATGGGTGAGGGATTTAATTTTATGGTTTGGCTGCTACTGAATTTTAAAACTGAAGCGACCTATCTTCAGAAGTTTTCTTTCGGACATTGTCCTGTGAAAATAATTATACGTTTTCAAACCAAGGCATTGTGGACTTTGTGTATTTTAAAGTAGAATCAAACACGCAATTTTTTTTTTCAATAATGAATCCAAATCAACAAACATTGAACATTGCCAGGAAAGTATTTCTTTATAGTTTTTACCCGAGCACTTACAGTCATCAAGTTTCTGAACAGCTGGCTCCAACTCTTTCCTGTCCAGTACAAGTTCAGTACTTGGACAGGAAATAAGCTGTCCAGCAACCAGGTAGAAGACAAGAATCACCAGCACTCGGTTCAATATGTCCATTTATTTGGACAAATCGTCACAATGAAAAAAGCCAACGTTTCGGGGTCTGACATATTGAATGATATTACCGAGTGCTGGTGATTCTTGTCTTCTAACTTGTGTCTGCACGGCGCCATCCGTGGTCATCAATGCGAGCACCATTATTGTACAGGCCGTGAGCGTTGTGAGGAATGCGGAGGGACTTTCTATCTATCCACATCTGCCCAGCAACCAACCATCTTCTAGGTTGGAGGAGGAGGGAATTGGATTGCATTTGTTGTGTGTTTGTGGAGGCGCACACACATAGGACCCTGTAAGGGAAAGGAGCCACCCTAAAACTGAATATCAGGACCAATGCTCAGTGGACCAGCTGATTTTGCAGGCAGCTAAAACTCTTAAACATCAAGGAGCAGCATTAATTGTAAGTGATTAAATCAGTATTTGAAATAGCCTAAAAACCCTTTGACTTTAATATCACTTTAACAATTAAAAGCAGACACTTGGGGTCTGACTAGTTGCTGTGGGGAACAGACTCCCTCCAGCATATTTACATCAGCTCCAGTGTAAACGAGCTGTATGGAACTGTTCTCTTATTAGGTTTGAAGGAGAAGACCTGGGCTTTTCTGCTTGTAATCGAGAGATGCTTGATCATTATTGAGGACAGGGAAAAGATCTGGTTTTAAGCCTTGCAGACTTGGCTGTACGTGGTGACTCATAGGTATATAATGTGATTTGACTTTTCCAAGAATATGCTCTAACAACATGATGTGTAATGACATTATGCCATAATGAAGTTAAGTCATGGGTAATGGATTCATAAGTATTATGTGGCACAGAAACCGTCAATTGTCAGGAGGGCTTAAACTGACTGCAGTGCTATAAATAACAATTAAACAGTATTAGATATGCACAGTATGTATACTTTTTCACATTTTGAGGCAACCAAAGGCTTTTATACTTGTGGAAGTTTAAACTCCCGGCACGCATATTTGAAGTTAAATGAGCTATTAAAGTCTTTCCACAGCAGAAAATGTTTACCTTAGGTTGTCTGATCCTCAAATATCGAGCACTGGCCAAAGAAGCATGAGTTTCCATAGCTTTTGAACACCATGCTTACAAGTCACGCTCCTGGTCTGCGCTTCCATTGGCTGCTTAATTTGCTGTCATTTTCACTGTTGTGTCCAGACATCCTTTGTTTGTTTTAGGCTTGCATCGGCTTTCTTTGTAATTTTAAAACTGTTATTTCATGTTAATGGTGTTATTAAGACTATTTAAGAGGGGATTGTAGCTTATAGAGGCAGATTTCTGAGCTAGGAATGGTTAAATAAAAAGTTTCTCTCATAAAATTGGGGGGAAAAAGTGGAAGCTGTTCTTTTCTTGTAGTTTAGACTTATCCCAGATTGAGTATGCCCCAGCTAATTGAGATAACGTATGACTTCATGCCTGAGCAGAACATTTACCTCTGATTCTCTTTTGGGAGAGATCCTGGATTGCTTCCAGAGCTTGTCTTAGTTTTGGTCACGCACAATATAAAGGTTTAGTCTCACTGCGTTTGGAAAGTATTGCAGGGACATGAGTAGTTGAAATATTTTATGATACCCAAAAATCCAAAGGGAAATCAATATTTTTCTTCTACCTCAAAGATCCAGGATCAGTGCTTGAGGAATGCCACATTTAATTCAGATTTCCCCATGCACCTGAAGAGTTTATGATTTAGAAATGGTTAGGACTCTGGTAATTTAATAAGAATGTGCTGGACAAATCAGAAACACGTGTTCTTTCGCAGATTACAAGTTTGCTGCAGATGTAATTCAATAAAGGGGTGTTGTGCAGATCTTATGCAAGGTCTGTTTTCAAAGGAATTTAGGGCCCCAGAAGCTTAGAGATTAGTAAGTGGTCATCTGACTAGCTGTGCAATGTGATCATGCTGTACGTGGATTTCTTAATGGTTTGGCCCTTTGTGTCTCCAGGAGGAAGAGTAAAAACGTGGAAACGCAGATGGTTCATCCTGACTGATAACTGTCTCTATTACTTTGAATACACAACGGTAAGTGGTTACCCCATGCACAACAAATACACTGTAGGTGTGCAATCCTTGGGCCTTCAGACACAACAGCAGCCATTTTGCAATGATAACACACAGATATGTTTGTTTACTGGAATGCAAAGGCAAAAGATTGGGAAACGACTTTAGCAAATATTCAAAGGTTTCAGGGTTTTTTTAACATGGCTTTTTGCCTTTTCTTGCATAGGTAGATGAGGGCTAGAAATAATGCAATGATGATGGGGAACACAACTGTGGAATGTCTATGAATGGGAAAAAGAGTGCAAAACTCAGTAACCCTTTTAGCTTTCATGGTAGTCTTTTTTTGTGTAAAATATATATATATATATGTATGTATATATATGTGTGTATGTATGTATGTATGTATGTATATATATAATCTCATACACACACACACACACTTTTTTATAATTTTTAAATCAGCACATCCCTTGTTTAGCTAACTAATTATACCAATAGTACTTTAAGGTTAAAAAAAATGGAAACTTGTGTATAAAATCCTAGGTACCAGTCTAGAATATTATTATACAGGATTTATATAGCGCCAATAGTTTGCACAGCGCTTTACAATATATGGAAGACATTACAGTCACAATACAATTTTTAAGACAAGATGGTAAGGAGGGCAATATGATTAACAATGTATTTAGTATTCCTTATTAAGTCCATTTTACATTACTGGTCCACATATATTGCATCTATCCCTAACTCACAGCCCATTCAAAACTAATATTTGAAGTAAACATGCAGTGAGCACAGTTTTGCTTAGTTGATGTCCAGGCTTAGTAGCATAAGATGTCTACCCTTACCTTGCATCCCTTCTCCACCTCCCCTCAAAATCCTTACACTGCTATTGACTTTCTGGAAGGGCTAACCACACCTTCCAAACCCCCACATGGCAGCTCTTTTTTTTTTTTTGCAATTATACATGTTTGAGAAGAGAGATAACAAATTACTCCAAGAAAATAGGAACATATAAGTGTCAAATATAGCCAATGATCGAGAATACAATCGTACCCATTGATTTGAGCATTGAATTGTGGAAGGTGGCATGTATTTTATTTGGGCGCGAATAGTGGTTCACGTAGTGGTAGTAAGACGGTGTGCATAAGGTAGGAAAGGGCATGTTTGGTTCCCACTTCCAATTCTAGGCATTAGTTAAGCAACTCTGCACTCAGTATTGGTTTACTTTAAATTACATTTCAGATTAAGCCTATTTTGTTAAATAATCCTTTTCTAGTGAGCATGCAAGAAGGAAGGGTAGTCATATCATACAGAGGCATGATCTATGGGGTGGAGATTTTAGAGACAGAGCCCTGAAGAGAAGCCAAGGAGTGAGAACACCAACCAGTGTGCACCTTACTGAAGTAGCAGGTTTAGGTGCGATGAATATTAAAAAAGAACTTCTGATTTTTTTTTTTTGTCTGTTTTGGTAGTGGATGGGAAGGATGTTAAACTGTGTACATACATAATGTGGGTGTCTTGGCAACCAAGCTAAAGACCTTCACACTGGGTAGTCTTGGAGTTGGGAACTATGATCTGCAGTCACTGTCTACAACCAAACCACTGAACCATCACATTCTCAAACAATTCATCCCTACTTAGCTACCTCCTCATGTATCACTGGCCCCTCCCTTTTAGATTGTAGGCCCTCACAGGCAGGGCCCTCATTACCATCTTCATCATCGTCTTGAATTGTATTGTAATGTCTTCCTTATATTGTAAAACGCTGCACAAACTGTTGGTGCTAGGGATGTCCCGATGCCCCTTTTTCAGGACCAAGTACTTCCCCTCATGTACTTGCCGATACCAATTACCGATACTTTTTTTTTTTCTTTTTTTTTACTTTAGGACCCCACCTGGAACTCCTCCCGCCGGACCAGCGCTGACTCGCCGCTGCTCTCCGGCACTGAAGGACATCGTAGGCGAAGAGGAGCATCGCGTCACTGCTGCTACAGGTGGAGTCCTCTGGGCAGTCACCGGCCACCTACATTAGGACCCCACCTGGAGCTCCACCCACAGCAGTGATGCGACGCTCCTCCGCTCAGCCTGCCCAGAGGACCCCACCACGGAAGGTAAGAAAGAAAGAAAAAAGAAAAACAGCGCAAACTTCGGCGCTATGCATCAGGGCATTTTGACAAGTACTTGTCAAAATGCCCTGTATCGGGCCCGATTCCGATGCTAGCATCGGTATCGGGACATCCCTAGTTGGCGCTATATAAATCCTGTATAATAGTATAATAATGCAACATTTAAGGATAGTTTAGCAGGTATAGAGTTAGAGTTCTTGCCTTAGCGTGGCCATACTTAATCAGGTCTGTCATGGAGACTGGCAGGTGATGACAGACCTGCATTTCATGCTTTCAGTGAAGTACTTGCTTGCCACAGTGCTTGAAAATATATGTAAGTGATAACAAGCACCTCCAACACTCCTTATCCCTTTCTTGTTAATCTCTACAATTCTCACTTATTGCACTTGGGTCATTTACTTACAAATATCGGACAGTGTAAGCAAAACCTTATGGTGTATAGGAGCAAGAAAACCGCAAAGGGCTGCTGACATGATACCAAACATTATCTGCAGAAAGCATGCTCCCATCCTGTCCAGCCTTTGCAGCACCAGTGAAGTATTTACAACCTCAGGTGTTCTCACATACTAGCATTTAGTGAATATTGGCCAGCCAGACCATGAACCTGTTTGGTCTCTTTACTCCATTTATCCTTAGTGACATTAAACCCTCAGATTTTTTAATATAAACCAATACTGTAATGTGTGCCTTACTGTAATCCATGGTAGTTTCCCTTCTCTTTGCTGCTCTTCCTTTTAAATCCTCATGTCTTCTCATGCTGGGGGAGAACTTCCCTTTGCAGCTGACTTCCTCTTCCTGTTGTGCTGGCTCAGGTTGTGAACCTACACAGACACCATGTATCCATTCCAGAGACAAGGCAGTCTGCTGCAAACCAGAAGTTCTGCAGAGCATGAGAACAGATACAGATTTAAAAGGAAGAGCAGCAAAGAGAAGGAAACTACCATGGATTACAGTAAGGCACACATTACAGTATTGGTTTATGTTAAAAAATCTGAGGGTTTAATGTCACTTTAAGTGGAGTATGCTACCTACCCATTCTAATAAAAATGTTACTGGTGTTGTGTTGTGAAGCTGCTCTTGTCAGTCCTACCTATTCCATGTTTTTGTGGCAGTGACGAGATGCCAAACTGATAAGGCATCTTATTGCTGAAAGCTCTTATTGACAACACACTCCCTCCCCCCGGTGGGTTATTAGGTTATTTGAAAATCTCAATAGGGTAAAGGAAACCTGTCATAGGAAAAATATGAGGGCTGCCAAAGGTGGCCACTCTTTCTGAAAATATTGGTTGCTATGCTGACCTTCTGCCCTCAATCCTTGGGCGTCCTTATGTGTATACATTTTTCAAGTCGGTGACACTCTGACTGTCATGATCTACATCATTTTTTTCCAGGTCAGTGCCTCTGGAACTAACCAGTGATAGCCAGGCAACTAGTATTTTCAAAGAGAGGCCTGCATGTCAGCCCCTATGTTTCTCTTTTGCAATGTTTACTGTTAAGGGAAGATGTTAGACAGCCATCGGAGTCAGAAGTGAGTAAAATGAATCTACAACTAAAACATGGATTGCATTTGTATGCCGCTTAGAATGCATTTTTATCTGCTTATGATGCATTCTCATTAACTATGCAGAATAAAAAAGCTTTTGAAATGCAGCTGAATAGGTCATGTGCATTTACAGAAATGCTATAATTTTTTTATTGCAAATGCAGCAGTAAATTGCACCTTTTAAAGTCTATGTATACCCAAAAACAAACTGGTGTATATATAGCTGTTCTTGTGTAGTTAAACCCTGATAGCATATTGTTTTCTTTTTACAGCTACTTAGGGGGAAAAAATCACTCTACCACTTCTTCTTCTCAGTGACACTTTCCTTGTGAGTGACAACTCACTCCCTTGCTTGCAGTGTTGCAGTGGTGTTGTCACCTTTTAAGCGCTCCCAGTCAGGACTACAGGGTGATTGGGCAATGGACAATGTTATCACATCCTAATCCCTCCCAACCAATTCACGTCCTCTGTTTGACTGACAGCAGCTCTGGGCAGGAGTAGTGTTATCAGTTTACATCTCTACTAACCTAATGCTAGTGAAAATGACATTTATCTGTAACGCCTCATCCCTTGCCAGCAGCAATGGAGAGAATGATTGTGGTCATGTGACTGCTATAGAATTTTTCATTTAATCTTTTCCGCAGTTACTTGTCAGCATCTTATGGCCTCTCTACTACTTACCTGTTCCGAATTTGTATGCTTTGTCTTTGCATCTGCTTTTAAAGAGAACTATGGGGTAAGTGTTTTTCCCCATAGTTCTCTTTAGGGTCACGGGCCGTCATATACTAACCTCCTCCGGTGACCCAATGCTCAGTAGGCAATACTGAGAGCGCCGCAGCAAGGACGGAGCCCGACAATACTGTTGAGATCCACCCAGCTGCGTGAGTGACAGCGGGCTCTGCCTATCTAGAGGCAGAGCCATCTGTGCCTGCTCCCTCCCCTGTCCGTTGCTCCACTCAGCGCTGGAGGATCGGAAGGGGAGGGGGGAATTCCTGCGGAGAGTGGTGACTAAACGTCACCGCTCACTGCAGGGAGATGATCGTAAAGTGAGCAGATCGGCGGCATGTTTCTGCTCACTTCCCGATCGATAGATCGGTCAGAGGTCGGATCTAACTATGAGGATGAGTGGAAATCACTCCTCATAGTTCTCCTTTTAAGATTCAGACACGGTGTCCAGGATCCTTCTAGATTCCATGACCTGACCACTGGTTTACAAGATCCATAACAGAAATGTGGCTCATTGTCATTTGTTATATGTAAATGTGGCTCACAAATTGCAACTTCCCCACAAGGTCACCGCTGCCGCCCCTCTGCGCTCTGCCGCACCGAGGCCGGGCCTCGTTGGCCTTGTGGGAAATCCGGGCCTGGTTATACAGATATTTGGCTCATCACCTAATTCTAAAATGTTCTGTATAATCCTTATTTAAAAGCATTGCAATGAAAAACATAGAAGAAAAATAGAATGTTGATATGTTATTGAAGCATGAGAGATATAATTGATTCAATCCTGGCTTGATATGACTGTCCCCAAACCCTAAAAGTCCTTAAACAACATATGTAAGGTTATTGTATGATATCTAGTCCAGTTATGCCTAAACCAATGTTTCATAGCCTGGGGTACCACAGGGGTTCCTTTCAATATGGTGGATCATCAACCTTCCCTAGGTCATGACATCTGGGAACTGGTGCAAGGCACATACTATGACAGTGTTACCCAGTGCTCCCTATTATACAATATATTATGGTAATGTTTATATTGTGAATGCTTGGCCATGAGGTATTTACTCTCCCGGTCTGGATAAACAAGCAATATACATGGGACTACATATTTCACACAGTGAATTGGGTAACCATTCAACATGTTGCAGTAAAGTGGGGTAAAACATATCACAGCTCATAGATCTGAATGGGGCCTAAATGTTTTCTGTGCTTGGACATACTACAGCAATATGGCTTCATGGAAGAAATTTTGGAAGTGAAAAATGAATGCACGTTTTTTAGAATTTTCTAAATTGAGATGATGTGGGCAGAGAGTAGAGCACAGTTAGGGGAAAGATTAGAGTGCTGAAAGGAAAAACGGCCTAAAACATTTTTTTGAAAGCCTAAGTGCTTGGCAGTAGGACAAGGACAGGTGAACATAGACAACAGCTGGGACAGTGTAGTATAGTAGTAGTAGTATGGGGGTGGGGGGAGGATAGGGGTAGTTAGTGGTAGCTTAGATAAAGTTTCCATAGAAGTACAGCTGTCCATTTCTTCTTTTGAAAAATGTTTCCCTTCTGCTATCGTGATTGAACACTACATGTGGATAACTAAACCTTTCTTGAAATGCGATATTTGAAAAATGAAATAGATGTCAATTTCTTTCACTTCACTTCAGGGACACATTCATACTGTCCTACCTTCATCCTGGCCTAGAATCTCTCCCAATGTAGCAGATAAAGAAGTACATAAGCTTCTACCTTCGGTGACAACATACACGTGCCAAATATTGTGACTTTAAAATACAAAACAGATTTGATGTCACCTTACAGCAGAATTTCAGTATTCAGGCGGAAACAGGTTTCTCATTAACTCAGAGAAGCTGGAAAGTATTTTTTTCTGTAAAAGCAGATATGTCCGTACATCTGTATGTAGTTACCAGAAGGATAAAATATAACATTTAAACTTTAAAATAGATTTTAAATGTATAAATTCTTAGGGGAGGGGGAAACTAATCACTGGACTAAACCATCTGTTTTATGTTTTGGATTTTTTTTTTTTTCGTTTGCTAAACCTTAGCCTATGTCTACCTCTGGTGGCCAACAGGAAAAGCGCATGGCTATTACAAGTATGTTTTCATGGAGGGAGCAGGGGACACCAGTAGAATCTGTCATTCACTTTAGAGGGGATGTAGCTCATATAAGCCGAAATATGTTGGTATAAAAATATAATGCACAAATATCATCATTTATACATATTTAGCACATCTAAGCCACATTTATTGCTTACAATTACAAATATGATGAGATTTAAATATCTTGATATTTAATCCGTTTTCATTTGGTCACTTTGGTAATGACTAATTATCATATGTTTTAATTTGGCAGGATAAAGAGCCAAGAGGAATTATTCCTCTGGAAAACCTGAGCATTAGAGAAGTTGAGGATCAACGAAAACCGGTAAGACGTCTGATGTTTTTCTTTAAGTAATTCATTATTATGTACTGGACCTTCTACAGTATATAAATGTTATTAAAGACTTGAGGGTATACATATGAGACTGTATTGACTGTATTTCTCTCGGTACTGGTCCTCTAGATGGCTGAAATCTCAATGACCTCTGACAACTAGGAGCAAATCTGAGCAGCCCCATGGCTGAATGGTCACTGTAAGAGTCAATTACAGGGATTGTTTAATGTAACTTTGTCAGTGGCTACAAAGCTACTTTTGCAGTTCCAGATCCCAGGTGTAAACTGCGATCTGATTCTAACAGGAGCTACAGGAAATATTTCGATTTCCTATGGAACACCTAAAACGTTGTGCCACTTCTTCCTCTTCTCTCATTACAAATTTGTTACCAGATTTTTTTGTGTTTTTAGATTTGTTTCACTTTTGTTTTTTTGTAGTGTTGTGTTTAAAAAAAGAAAATCTTTATTTTATTTGTTTTCAACTTTACATTGTGTTATAACAGCAGCATAAGTTTAGTGTTAGTGTTTGGCATGCACTTCTTGTGACATTGATATAATTTACGACAGAACTCATCACAGCATAGCTTACATTTAAAGCTGAACTCCAGGCTGATGTAAGACACAAAAAATAAAGCTCCGTATTCAATATTGAAGCATTATATGTGTATTTTTAAAAGCAATCTTTTAACTGGTTTCAAGATTTAATAATCTTGAAACCAGAAAATCTGACTGTGGGTTATTTTTGGATCATGCCCCCCCCCAGGCTGTACGCCTTCGAGTGAACAACTTGGTGGATTGTGAAGATCAGACACTAGACTACACTGTTTGAGAACGATAGAAAATAAAGAGTGACCGAAAGCCTAGTAAATAAGGCTTAAAGGAGAACTATGAGATGAGTGATTTCCACTCACCTCATAGTTCTAGCCAACCTGTGACAATGAGACTGTCACAGGTCGGCTCAGTAGATCGGGAGGTGAGCGAACACATACCAGGTTCGCTCACTTCTCGATCCTGTCACGGCTCTCTGCCGTGACAGGGGGAGGGGCTGGTTGCCCTCTCCCCGCTCCGATCTGCCAGCGCTGACTGTCGGAACGGACGGGGGAGGGGGCGGGTAGAGCTGGCTCTGCCTCTAGATAGGCAGAGCCAGCTGTCACTCACGCAGCTGGGCGGATCCCGTCATCTACGTCGGGATCCGCTCCGGCTGCGGCGTCTCAGTATACCGCGAGCTGTAGCTCGTGGTATACTGAGCTTAGGGTAACGGGAGGACGCTAGTTTGTGTCCTCCCGTTACCCCAAGGAGAACTATGGGGAAAAACACTGACCCCATAGTTCTCCTTTAAGGATGTAAACTTTTAGTGCAAAAAGCTTTGTGCTGAATTTATATGGATTTTATATTCACAAGGTGGAAATGCAGATCTTATGGAAAGTATTCATTGTGTAATTCATAGTACTTATGCACTTCATTCAGTGACGACCAGCAACTAATCCTCCATTTTGTTTCAGAACTGTTTTGAGTTATATAATTCAAGCCACAAAGGCCAAGTCATAAAAGCCTGTAAAACAGAAGCTGACGGGAGAGTAGTTGAAGGAAATCATGTTGTGTACAGAATATCGGCACCTACTCCTGAAGAGAAAGAAGAATGGATAAAGTCCATAAAGTGAGTTTTCATTCATTGTAGATGTGAATCCCTTTGTGTAACCTGGTGTAGTAGGGCACAGTGTAGTCCTCTGCCTTTATAACTCACTGGCCTTGTATGTGAGATCAGTTCACAGTTTGCACGGCCATTTTATTTTTGGATGTTCTGATGAAGCCACTTGTCTGCCTACATACGTGTCCTCCTAAATTTAATTAGGGCTTGTTCACACCAAGTGCGGAGCAGATGCAGAGCAGTTACAGACCGCATTAAAAATGCATCCAATGTATTCCAATTGTATTTTGGGCTCTAGTTCCAGGGCGTGTGAAAAAAACTGCAGCAAGCCCTATTTTTTTCTACTCTGGAACGCACACCAAAATGCAAACACATAAAAAGATGCATGCAAATGCCCTGAAACGCACTGTTTCTTAAAAACGGCCCGGAAAGCGGCAACAACTCATGGTCCAGATTTGGTGTGAACAAGCCCTGAAGGTGGTCACTCAAATTACCTCCAGCACAACTTATTTTAACTGAATAAATACATGTTAAGAAAAAAATGTATAGTGGAACTCCGGGCAGTTTATTAACCCAGTAGTGATGTAGGGATCAATGGGAGGAACCAGAGAGCACAGCAGGAGATCGAAACTCCCTGGATTTGTAGGTTCATGGATCAGCTTTGGGTTAAGAGTTCTCTGCATTCGAGTTGCATTTAGTGGGAAGTTAGTATTTGCGATTTCCATTGCAAGGCACTCTTTAATTTACACTTAGTCCTTAACAACAGATTTGCTTTAAAGTGAAGCTGTGTCCATACCATTCATTTCAGCAAAAATCTTCCCAAAGATTTAATGTGTATTTAATGGATTTAATGTTATTTATGTTTAAAAGCCTCCTTGTGTCGACATCCAAAAGCCCGCTGGGTGCTGCTGCCTTGGATGTGATGTCTGCAGCCCCAACAGACTCGGAGAGATCCTCTAAGGCTATAGTATTCCCCTTTGCTGTTCCCCCAGCAGCTACATCAAAGTTTCTAAAAGGAGATGAAGGCCGGTGATGCTGGGCCAGCACAGAGAGGATTTAGACACTCCCAGTAGAGGAGGGGGCTGTGCTAGGGATTTTACTTTCTCAGGGTAGTCTAATTTTCTAGCGTCTTTAAAGGCACATTGCGAGTAAAACAAAAAATATGTAAACGAAAACCTTGCAAGTATTTTTTTTCCCCCCCATATACTTTGTTAGTTTTTTTTTCTCTGCTTTTACCTGCATTTTCTGAGTTGGTTTCTCTTTGATTGCTAATTATTTGGCTTGATTTGTTACCTGGGTTTGCTTTCTATTGTCTGCTGGGACATAGTATGATAAAAAAAAATCTTGATGTTAAAACTTTTCTCTTTTTATTGTCATATATATATATATATATATATATATATCTGAATATGTAAAGCTGGCCATACACCTATCGATTTTCTGCAGATTTTCTATGGCCTGATGGGAAAAATGCAACAGATTCCTCCATCTACACTAAACTGTGTGGATGGAGGAATCTCCCACTGGACCAAGCTTCAGTATCTTGCTAGTCGGCCCAGCTGGCTCTCAAAATACCTGAACAATGCCTGCATCCAATCAGAGTGTTCAGGTATTTTGAGAGCCAGCGGGGCCGACGAGCAAGATACTGAAGCTTGGAGATTCCTCCATGCACACAGTTTAGCATAGATGGAGAAATCTGTTGCACTTTTTCCATCTGACCATAGAAAATCTGCAGATAATCTATAGGTGTATGGCCAGCTTTAGACAGGCAGAGTTTTTTAATAATCTTTTTCTTCTCCTGCAGAGCGAGCATCAGCAGAGATCCCTTCTATGACATGCTGGCAACAAGGAAGAGAAGAATTGCAAACAAGAAATAGCCCAGGTTATGGTTACGCATCTTACAAGATTTTCTGAAAGTATCTCATGGTCAAGTCAATGGACCAACTTTACCTTGGACTTCTGTTGCCACAACTGGCTTCACAAGGGTCACCGGGGGTGTCTGCCAATACTGAATTATCAGTACCAACCCGGACATTCAAATCTTTCTGTGCAGACTCCTGCAATATTTTTGTTTTTTGTTTGTTTTTCTCTATTCATTTCACATGAAGAATAGGCATCATCTTGTCAAACAAATGGCTCATTAGTATGTAAATATTTCCCAATACATATTTGTTAAAAAGGCAACCAAAACACTAAATCTCTATATTCATAGTGGAGAGCTCTATGATTTAATCTTTACTCAATCGAGTATTTGCTAGAAGGGCAGCTATATAGATGGTACGGATCACAGTGGACCAGGCAAGCTGCGAGCATAGCATTGCATGTTGGTTATGTTTGCCACAGGAAACTTCTAGCTGGCCTGACTTGTACCTTGCCGAGAACAGTTCTTGCCAGTATAGCCACTTGATTGTATTTTTCTGCATCTCAGGCAATGGGACTGGCTCACTTGGGCCTCCAAACTTGTCTTGAAATAGCCACTGAATATATTATCTATAAGCTAATTCCTCCATTTCGTCCCCTGTACAGGTTCTCTTTTTTTATGATATATTTGTTAAGCCTATATGTCTATAGGCTGATGCTGGCTTATGGTAACTGTATTTGTAATAGTCTAAGCCAGTGGTGGCGAACCCTGGCACTCCAGCTGTGCCAAAACTACAAATCCCAAGATGCATCTGCCTCTGGGAGTTATGTCTGTGGCTGTCAGAGCCGTGCAATGCCTCATGGGACTTTGTAGTTCCAAAACAGCTGGAGTGCCAAGGTTCGCCATCACTGGTCTAAGCAGTGGGAAGCCATACCTGTGAATGGGAAGAACAAGAAAGTATTATACTGTACAGTTTTCCAGAAGGACGATTGCAGTCATGCATGATTGAACAGTGCAGTATCTACTCTGCTGCACCAAATGACAGATTCTGCCTTAAACAATCCAATGGTGTAAGTTGCCTAAGGGCTGCAGATGCCTTTTTTTTCTATCTTCTGTTCAGTCCATCAGATGTTTCAGCAAAGCGCAGTTTCACAGAGTGTTTCATAGTCCTTTGACCTTACTCCATTGGGCTCAGGAGGTCAGGTACGATATCTCATTCATAGACCTCATATGAGTCGTCTTCGTTCCATCTATACCGTTCATATACATATAACTGACTATATGCAATTCTCACTAATTGTGTGGTCATAATGAGTTTTTGCTACAGGAGGCCTCTTTGGGTACTAATCAATGTTGGGGGGAGGGTTCTTTTTTTAGGGTAGCTTTATGTAAAGATGGTAGGTAAACAAATGTACAAAGGCATTCAGCAAGTGTTTAGGAAGGAGAATCACAGTATTAGTATATATACTTCTTTTTATCATTTACAATGTAGCACAGTTCATAGGGACTGATGTGTAGGAGTTGAAGAAGAGTAGGAGCGGAGTTGTTGCTCCTAGAATGCTATGAGATTCTTTGGTGCAGAGTAAAGTGGAGGGCTCTGTCTCTCCTATATCTCCAGCTCATGATAGAGAAGGACTTCAGTTTCTATGAATAAAGTCCAGCCATCTTAAGGTTTTACTTCCTTAAAGACTTTGCTTAGTTTGAGGCATATCCAGCAGGTCATTTTTGTTTGGCATTCTAATGTGATTAAACTTGCATTCTAGTTGAATAGCTTCAGTTGTCTCCCAAGTAAAAGATTTTGGAACCCATTCCAATCCTGATGCAGATAATGCCCCCCATGTTTTAGTGTGCAGTCTTATTACATCTGGAACAGAGTAGTTTAAACCAAGCCTGTGGCCTCATAAAACCTGATGCCTGGGCTGTGCAGTACGGAACTCCAGGTGTCTGCGTGCATTTTTTTTTGTGTATATGAAGAACCCCTAAAAACCTGGGGTTCTGTGTTACTCAGATTGTAGCCAGACCTCAAATGGTTGTAGTGTGCGTTTCCTTCACCCCCCATGCATTCCTACTGGCCATCTCTCACATTTTATGACCAGTAGAAAGGCATGAGTGATGGAAGGGGACAGGCCATAGAGCATCTATGTGAACAGTGTGTGCAATTTGCATGATGGATTGACCTAGGGTTGACTACAATATAGTCCGGGAGCCAGGTTAAGAGGCTATACATTAGTTGCACCCCTTTTAAAATGACTCCATTGCATAACATCCATTGAATGTTGAGGTTTCCCACATTTGAGTGCCTACCTCATGTTTAGGGTGTACTACACAAACCAGAGGCAGCCATTTTGTAAGCTTTCAGCTATAATTAGCAGCTGGTTAGTGATCTCACCGAGACCTAAACGGTATCTTGGCTTAATGATGTCCATTATGTACATATTGGTTTAGCTTGCAAAATGGCACAATTGTATTGTGTGTTCTTGCTACGTGATTTGTAAGGAAAGGATTACCTGTAGTTACCTGAGATGAGGTATCTTCATTTCATCAGACATCTGCTCCAGTAAATGCATTAGCCATGTCTTTCATAGCTCTGGAACGTGCATAATTTTTTTCTTTCTGCTTAGAACTCTCTTATAGGTTAAGGTTAGAGCTACACAGGTGGTTGAGGGATTTATCTGCTTCTGTGCAATATCCTCATTTTCAGTTCATTAAATTGAATGTGCTCCTAATTATATGAGGGTCAAACCTTAGAAAGCAAAGAGATTTAATCACTTATGTAGCCCTAGCCTTAAGATGGCCATACACTGCTTCAATTGTGGCGGATTTCCTGCTGAATCGGCTGAAATTCAAGGCATGGACGGCCCTGTTTGGACCCCCCAGCTCGCCAAAAGTCACTTTATTGTACTCCGCAGTCACTGAATACAATAGTCGGTAGCAGCATTCCTCATCCACGTTGTTTAGCGCTGATGTGAGAATTAATGGGTTTCTCCTCATCCGGCAGTACAGATCCAGGGGTGTCAAACTCAATTTAATCATGGGCCGCATCAACATTATGATTGCCCTCAGAGGGCCTGTAAGTCTATACAGGTATTCCTCACTTAACGACCGAGTTCCGTTCCTACGACCAGGTCGTTAAACGGATTGGTTGTTAAGTGAGGAACTCTATACAGTACTGTATAGCGTTACCGATGTACAGTACCGAACGGTGTACTGTACATCGGGCAATGGAAATACTTACCGGGACCCGCAGTGAAGATCGGAGGACGTCACTTCCGCCGGCGACACGGCGCGCTGACGCGCAAGGTCGGAGGTCGATCGGCGGTCCGTCGTAAGTGCGAGTGGTCGCAAAACAGGTAAGTCGGTAAGTGAGGAACATCTGTATAAATGTATCTAATCTTTATCATAATTGCCTCTGCATTCGATTATCACTGGTTTTAGTAATAACTTAATACCTAGATCTGAAAGAAGAAGTCTAGGAAATGGCCTGGTGGGCCGGATTCAGCCCCTGGGCCTTGAGTTTGACACATGTGCTGTAATGACTCTTCTCTTAGGTGCTCACACTCTGACATCGTCACATACATTGCGTGATGAATAGTCCTGCATTGTACATGAGGATGGTGAGGGCCAAACCACAACCCGGAGCCTCAGAGAGAGAAGAGGCAAGCACCGGAAGCCTGCCAGAGCGAGGGATGAGTTAAGTATTACTCCTTTTGCCAGTATATCCTCTTGATTGTATTTTCTGCATCTCAGGCAATGGGACTGGCTCACTTGGGCCTCCAAACTTGTCTTGGAATAGCCACTGAATATATCATCTATAAGCTAATTCATCCACCCCCTACCCCTAGACTTAATGAGCATTGCAGTGTGACAGGACCTTATTGCAAGGTTTGTTTTTTTTTAATTTCCGGAGTTTAGCTTAAAACCTGGTGACTCCATTCATGTAGGACGTCATTGGATTCAGTCTTCTGCCAACTCCACATGCTAAGCAATGTGGTCTTGGAACGCAGGATGGGGGTTATCCATTGTTACTGTGGACAGTCCCAGCAGAGGGAGCATGTGGTTTACCTCAACATGTGGCATGAACCACTGCTGAATTAAGTATGGCATCCCCAACATTCCTGTACTGCAGATCGTTCAGAGTGCCGTGCAGGATTTTTCTACTTGGCCAACCCTGCTATATAGTTCATGTTAAGAAGGTGTGTACTTTAGAAGGCATTACATATTTGAAATGTCACCACTTCATCATGTCAAGGGGTTGCTGGGGGAGCCAGTGGGCAGATGTACTTTCCTCCCTAAATCATAGTTCTGTTTTTTGCCATGTTGCCTTTTTCCTTTATAAATGATTCCCTTCCACTGACCAGCATTTATGTTTTCAGACTTTCCTTCCTGCAAAAAAAATATATTAATAGAGAAACTCTATCATTTTCAAGATTCAGCTGGCCTAAATCTTGTACTCAGAAAACAATTATTGGTACGTTTTTTAAGTCCTGCTTTTGCAATACAGCATTTGTATTTGAGAAACATTCCCTGTTTGCATTGTACAGCAATGCACACTGGGAGAACCCCTCCCCGTTTTTCTTGCCGTGCTCTTAGGTCATTTATAGACCGGAGGCTACCGTTCAAATATTCTGCGTATCATTCTCCTATTTATTTTTTAGTATCTTCAGAATATTTGTATCTGCATTGAAATTTAATTTTAAAGAAATGTAAATATTGTACAGTTGTATATTGGCTTATGTGCAAAAATGTAAACCCAATTCTTTGCATGGAGAATTCTGTATCTTTTCAGAGTACATAACTCGGTACAAATGATTACTGGAAGTAAAAAAAAACTAAAAAAACTGCAAACACTGTTCCCTTTCTTGGAATATAATTAAAGTATATTGTTCAAAAATGTCTGGGGCCCCTTGATTTTGTTTTTATTCGATTTTTGACTGACGGCCTGCAGGTATAAAGCTGTTCAGAACCCAGCATCCCCCTAAAATGTACTAGGTGGCCATTGCTGAGCTCTTGCTGAAAAGGCTAAATGCCTGGCTGTGTCTGTCAATACTTTGTCGGTGACTTAGAACAAGTATGGAGCCAATGAAGAGTAAGGTTGGCTACTCATCTGCATGTTTGTAGTATTTTAAGAGAGGTCACCAGTGGTTGCTTCCATGTATCTATCAGTCCTGGATAAAGTGAACCTGTTAGGTTTTTGATGGCATCTGTTCCCCCAAGTGGACCAGGAGACAGGTAGCATCAAACATTGACAGGGTTTAATCCTTCCCCAATAAAAGTGATTTGATTGCGGTCTATCACAGTGATGCCAAAGGAAGTGATGGTAAACCTTCCCAGTGGGAGTAAGGACAGTAATAAAACCTGACAGGTTTAACCTTTTCCAAATTCCAAAGTTCTGGCTGGAATTCTGTGCTAAGTTCATGCAAATTAATGTGTCAGTGTGTAGCAGTTATTGCTTATTTATTAGTCCCAAAGAGACCACAGTACTCCGGACAATGGCTTCATCTTCTTTTCTCCCCAGAGACCAAGATGCTGACCCGTAGAGGGCATAGTTCGGTAACCCCTGGAGCCTGTACAATAACCTTTTATGTCAGAAATATATAGATAAGCACCGGCCAATGCCTATTAATGTGTGCTTTTACATTTTAAGGTGCCCATACACTGCACGATTCTCGTACGAGAATCGTGGGAAATCCCGCTATCGTACGAGAACCGTGCAGTTTGAATGAAGACGTGCGACCGTTTCTACTGTACGGTCGCACGTCTTTTGTCTAAGGAGCATGCTAGAAAACCAGCCGAGAATCGTATGATTTTCGGCTGGTTTTTAGCATGCTCGGGAGACAAATGCCGCACGCGCACACTGCCCGTTCAGCATTGCGGTCATCGGAAGCCCGCCCCTCGGGGGCGAGCTTGCGATGATCGCAAGTACGATCTGCCTGTCCAAGATGGGCAGATCGTACGTTTTTTTTAAAGTACTTTACAACCCTGGCAAGACAAAAGTCTTGCCAGGGTTGTAGAGTGTATGGACACCTTTTAGACAGGCTCCTTGAGATTTTGCATACAGTACTTTTATTGGGTACAGGACCAGAATGGTTACAACTAGGTCTTATTTTCGGGATAGGTCTTATTTTCAGGGAACTGGGTAGGTAGACTTTGCACAGCGCGTATCTTATCCAGACAGCGCAAAGACATTTCCTTGAAATGTTTCGGAGCCGTATATAAGGAGGGGAGAACGATGTCCTGGTTATGATGGAAGACACCTTAGTATGAAAGGAGGCCTTAGGCCTCAAGACAACCTTATTTGTGTAACACTAGGAAGCACTCTAGAGGATAATAGATAAGGAAGCTCACCAGCACTCGTGAGATGAAATAAATCCAAATGTTTTTATTAAAGAAGCATGTCACAGCAGCCAACATTTTGGAACCACACAGGCGCTCTTCATCAGGGCAGACATGGTGCTGTATGGGGTGCAGGGGACATCCTTGTTTTATCTTTACAGGATAAGGCCACTAACTCAGAGGTGATAGCAACGAAAAGTCACTTCCAGGACTCCTTGTTCTTCTTTAGGCCCCCTACAGAGCCACCTTATCAAGTCTGTCTGGGATTAAATGAAAAGACAGAAGGATATGAGGCAGCCTACATACATAGAAGATCTGTAGTTAGTTCTCCAAGATGTTTGGAACAACGTACCTGCCGAGGTCCTTCAAAAACTGCGTGCAAGTGTACCTAGAGGAATTAATGCTGCTTTAAAGGCAAAGAGAGATCACACCCCATATTGATTTGATTTTCTCTTTTGTTCATTTTGTTAATTGATAAAATAAACGATTAACACTTATTTCTGAAACCATTCTTACTTTACAGCATTTTTCACACCTGCCCAAAACATTTGCACAGTAATGTCTTACTTGAAATACACTATTTTTTGCTTCCTGTACTCTTACAATAAGTATAAGTATAAGTTTTCTTTTAACCACCTCCGGGCCCGGCCGTAGTAAAAATAACTGCTGCTGGTGAGTGTGGACGATCCCCTTCTCTCCCTGGATTCCAATTGGTTGCTGGGGAGGGAGGAAGACCAGCTCCTCTCCCAGACTGCTGATCTGCCACTGGGGAGATAGATTGACTTCCTCTTCTCCCTGGAACTTCATGTGCCTTATAGTAAAAAATAAAACCCCCCAGTGGTATTTAAATACCACCAAAAGAAAGCCCTATCTGTCCCCAAAAAATGGTATAAAATTTATTTCAGTACAGCGTTGCATGACGGAATAAACTTCAGTCAAAGTGCCACAGCGCTGAATACTGAAAAATGGCCTGGACAGGAAGGGGGTCTAAACACCTGGTCTTGAAGTGGTTAAACAGCTAGCATTTTCAGGAGGCCAGCTAATGTAGCCAAGAAACTATTTTCTTAGGCAATAGAATACCATTTCAAACACAGAGGAACTCAACTTCAAGCTATCGCCGGGCCCGTAGGAGGGGCAATGGAGCCCGGGAAGCATGGCAGTCGGCTCTACAAGTTTAAACAGAGTCCCGGCGGCAAAAGTCGCCGGGAGTCTGTTTAAACAGCCCCGATGCTGGCGACATACACTGTACGTCATCAGTCACGAAGGGGTTAAGGGATACAGGAATTCTTAAACCTTTGGGTTATGCTAATGGCTACAGGAAGATTGGATACTGGCAAAAAACCTATGTAGTCCACCCAGGGTATAAGCCCTCCCACTACTGTCATGCCAAGTGTTGCAGTAAAGTAGCGGCGAGAGCTTGTACATAAAGGGGGGAAGAGGGGTGAGACCTATGTCCCTCATGGGATTCTAAGAAAATGGGGAGTACAAAAATCCTATTTTCTTTCTTATCCACTGAGGGACACAGGAAGTCTTAAAGCTTTGGGATGTCAAAAAGCAGTCCAAATGAGTGGTGGGCAACACAGCAATCACTAACAGGAGCAACATAACAAAAAACTGCAGCTCAAAGAGCAGTCTGAAGGTCCGTGTAACCAAAGCCTAAGAGGTGCTCACACACCTAGTAAAGTAAGCCTGAACATGAAAGGGCAAAACCCAGTCTTTAAGAACATAATTGTGAACGATGGCCTGTCTCAGCCAACTAGAGAGGGTTGAAGGAGAAGTCGGGGTCACACGTCTGAGGCCCATCTGGAATGACAAAAAGGAAATCGGTCTTTTTGAAAGAAGCTATTGCCGAGAGGTAGACTCACTCAGGCCAAACCACATCCAGACGATGGATGGAAACTTCCTTTTGATTAGCATGAGCTGGAAAAAGGGAAGAGAACAATGTTCTGGATAATCCGAAATGTAGAGACTACCTTGTGCGAGAAGGAAGCCAGCTCCAGCAAGTGTTAGAGGGTTCAGGATCCACCAAAATCCTTAATCAAATATATTGTCTGGTAGAGCCCTCGCTGACGGTTCCCTCAGCAGGAGGTCATCTACTAATCCCCCACAATGGGGACGCCAACAGAGCGCAAAAGAAACAACATTGTAGCGGTTACATTGACTGATGCGTTTTTCTTTCAATACAAAAAAAATTGAAAATTCCCCATGAATAGAACTCTATGAGCACAGTTACAAAAAAAAAAAAACCCCATTAGTCGATCAGGAAGGATTTATTTTTTTCCCTGTTGGAGCAAATTAAATTATACCCAGTCAACAATCTCTGGCGTTTACTAATAAAAATGTTAGTGACACTGAACTCACTCACATTCAAGTCCACTATTATCATTAGATCCTCAAATCATCTGAATTGGTGCCGACACTGTCCTTCCTTCTGGAGGGTGGCTTATTCCCCTTGGTCCCCGTGTGTGTTCTAAAGTAGCCACCTCTCCAACCTCGGTCCCGTGATGGACTATAATCTCAATACAAATGACTGCAAATAGTAAACTAAACATGAGATTGTAGTTTAATGATACCCTAACCTGGTAGTACAGAGGCCCTACAACAAACCGCAGAACATACTGGTGCTCTGAAAGATGGGTTCATACAAGTAAGCATCTTTTATGTCCACAGAAGCCTGAAAGTCTCGCTGATGAAGAGTTCAATGAATGGGATGAAGACATTCAAGTCTTTAAAGGTCCAGGATAAGGCAAACACCCCCCTTTGGGTTTTGGGACAGTGAACATGTTGGAGTAAAACCCCTGAAACATCTCTGCAGCAGAGACCTGAGCTATGGCACCTTGGTCCAGAAGGCCCAAGAGTCCCATGGAGATCTGCTAGTCTGGAGAGAGGAATAAAATATATTACCGTAATTATGATCCTCTAGGGCGGGGCGCCCACAATTTTTTGCGTTAAGATCTACTTTTTATATGACCAGCTCAATGCGATCTACCAACGAATGGCACCGCAACACACCTCCTACAACAACAACAAAACACAGGGTAGGTGTGATTGCCATAAACGCACTGTACTATTATGAATGGGCCCTTAGTTAGACCTAGCACTCTTATCAGAGGAGGTAAACTATGGGACTATTACCTATAATGGTAAAATAAAACCTACCGTGTTTCCCCGAAAATAAGACAGTGTCTTATTTTCTTTTTTGCACGAAAAAAAGACACTAGTTCTTATTTTCGGGGCATGTCTTACCTGGCTGGGGGAGGACTGGACGAGGTCCCGGAAGGTGGCGTGCTGTTATGCCGATTCCATCGGGCGGGCGTGTGGGCGGGAGCTGCGGCCGGGGTGGGAACGGCC